GATCCGAAATAGGTCCGAATCGGATTCGTAGTTCCCCATCGGTCTGATAGATCCGAAATTGGTCCGATACGGATGAGTGTCGGTTTTCGGATGATCTCGAATCCTGTCTTGACTGGCCAAGGGTTCTCGTGTCGACGAGCGATTGTTCCTGTTACAAGGTCAAGATTCGAAATTTAGACTAGATTTCTTGCTGCTAAAAATATCGTCCCAGCAATGTCCTCGCTTTCCGGTCCCCCTACACCAGCCCTTCACACGCACCACCGCCGCCCCGATATTTTCAGGAGGAAGCAAAAAAGAGCAAAAGAAAACGCTTTTGTCTCAAACTGCATCAGCCGGGAGTCGAACCCGAACCAATTGCTGAACGTGATGGAAGGCAATTATCCTACCGTTGGACCACTGATGCGATGTATTTTTGATGAATTGGAGTCAAATACAAAAATATATATTCATTAAAAATAGTATCCCGATCAGTGAAAAGAGCGATAGGCAGCCCGGGTGTATATATTAAAGGTGTGTAACAATTTTGTGGGTGTTTGTGCGCGGGGTTGGTGCCGTTAGCGAGACCCTGGCGGATTCTAGGTGAGGTCGACTGCCAGAAATGAAGATAGCAGATTATTGGGAAGGTTCGACTCTTGGAATTTTCTAAGGCATTGGGAAGATATAGGCATGATGTATTTATTCTATTTACACTGTTTCTTTGGGGAGGATGAAAGGTCTATTACTGGAATGCGGTAGTTGGGTTCAATCACTTGTTTACAGCACACGCGCTGTTGGCTCAGTCTTATAAGCTCATAGACTCGGGTGCTGTACTCAGCGGCGCATGTAGTATTGTGCGAGCGTAGCATGGGGTAAGAAGTTCTGTGATATAGTGCAAAGCTCTCTGCGGATGCCGCAACCTGTCAACGTACTCCAGGTGGGAGCAATGCACTGTGTACCCCTCAACACCAGCGTCACTAAAATACATGAGATTCAAAGCAGAGTCTAGCAGAACGCGTATGTATTTCCATCGAGTGACTGCATCATGCACATCATTACCAGCGTCTACCTATGACAGTTAAGCCGTCCATCATATGCCCGCCATGCACGCTATGCCGCTCCCTACTGCGAAAATGGGGAAGGAAAACCGACTAAGCAAAAGCTATGCCGGTGAATCAATAAAGCAGGATCAAAACCGCAACGCCAGACCATCAGACCTCCGAATTCATCACTGCTAACCCCCTGCTGTGCGGATACGGCCATGTGCGGGAGAGTGTAGCGGCGTGGCGATTGTCTCTACCGATTGTCGCAAGAGATGTAAAGTACTTGTGACATGTTGACACATGAAACGACTCACATGAAATCATCACTGGTTCCTGTTAGTAATTTATGCGAAGAGAACACTGGCCGAAGTAACTCACTCCTCAAAGTCGTCATCGTATGTGTTAGTGTCCGCCTTGTAGCTCACGTCGCGTGTGGCAACCAGACTGGTCTTTGTCTTCGCAGCCTTGCTCTTCTTGCCGCCCTTCTCGGCGGCCTTCTCCTCCTTCATCTTCTCGTTGCTCAGGGTGGTCAGACCGCTCGCAATCTTCTTGATCTGCTCGCTGGGCAGGTCCTTGGCGATCTGCTTGGTGAACTCCTGAAGGAAGAGCGAGTACTGCGCCTTCTTATGGTTGTTGCCAATCAGTGGCACCAGCGTCTCCCGCAGTTTGGTGAACTGGTCCTTGGTCTGGGGGTTGAAGATCTTCAGCGAGCTGAGATCGATGATATTGTTCGGGTCGCTGTCGTCTGCGAGGGTGACTGCCTTGGCGCCTGCGGTACGCTGCTTGGAGCCAACACTGAGGCCTGCACCGCCGAAGAGGTCCTCAGCGTGCGCAAGATCAGCATCCTGTTCGGTTTTCCGTAACCGGGCGCGACGTGTGGCTTCGTCCTCTTCCTCATCGGAAGACTCATCTTCTTCGGCCAGTCTCCTGCGCATGTTCTCCTCTTGCTTCTCCTTGATGCGCTGCGATTTCGACTTGTGGTTTGCCTTCGCTTCGGCCTCCGCTTTCGCCTTGGCCTCGGCGGCCTTCTTCGCCTTCTCGCGCTCGACTTCTGAATCTTCGGCGGCATCCCATGATTCTAGCACCTGTATAGTACTGTCAGCCCAGCGTTTCGTGGCGGAATAGGCCAGCCTGGGGTTTCGCATACGTCGTCGTCTTCCTCCTCGTCGTCGAACTTGCCACGGCGGAGGGCGGGAGCGGGTGGAGAAGTAGGAGGCGTGCTATCCTCCTCTTCGTCATCTGTGAAGCACGGTGTCAATTATTGTTCTCCATATACGGCTGCGAATATCTGGCCTGACTCGCAGCCGGACAAGGATCGTGGATATGACGTACCCCACTTGCTAGGAGGCATGATTGCGATAGAGCTGTCGAGGATAGGAGCGGTGGTTTTTGCAGTGCGAGTATGCGCACACGGTGCAGGCGAGGTGGTACGGGATTTTGATTGTTGCCTGCGGGGTTGTGTGAGGAAGAGTAGAATTTGCGGCACTGAGGGACCGCGTCGCGGGACTGGTTGGGCTCGTGGGCGGGCTCGGCTCGGCGTCACTGCGTGCGGAAGTACCACGGTTGCTGCCCAATCAAACCCCAGTCGGCTGCACTATTTTGAGCGAGCAACAGCTGGGAATCGTTCGCAACGGTATGCACGAGCCTCTGAATTCTGTGTAGCAGTTGTTGCGCCTAGCACTGTGTTGATGGCCTCGTGAACAAACGTAAGGTCAACTAATATATGGGTTTGTTATTGCAAAGGGTCAGCCCGCTTTTTTACCTTGGATTCGACTTGACGCCCAGCTTGCTTCACTGGATGTCCCGCAATAAAGTGGTCACATTTGCCTGAGGGGGAGCCTTAGTTTATTCGAGGAACAACGTACTGCACGTTATTCCATATCGTACCGCCATTGTTCTTCCTTCTAGAGATGACGCAAGGTACAGGTACAACAAACTGCGGGACTCCTGGTTGCCTGTGATTTCAGAATGACTACAGATACACAGAGAGATTGATAACACGGACATACATTTTTATGCTCTTTACAATGGTACAGAGATAAAAAGGATATAAATATGCCCTGTGTTTTGCGATATCGGGTCTGTCCTGTTCTTATTGAGTACCTTAAGTACATTCCATCTGCCAATGACTGGCTATGTTTGGTGATTATAATAATCAGTACATACATGCCGGGGAGGGCACATATGATATGATCACGTTTGTTTTCGACTCTAGGTGAGGTGTTTGTGGAGAGATCGCTCCGGGCTTTACGCAGCTAGAAGCACTGCGAGTCTGCTCTGACACGTGAATTTGTTTAATTAAAAAAGAAAAGCCCCAATTCGATTTGTGCACAAGATGATTGGGAAAACATGTACACCAAAAATCATACATGTTACTGTTGTCAGCAAAACGTCCATGATCCGTGGCGGTGATATTACATTTCCCAGGTCCTAGGTTATACAACCGTTTGCGTGAGGATTCGCATACCGTTGGTAAAATTTCATTAGTGAAGGTAAGAGACGAAACCATGCATGCGACGTGTCGTGGGAGGTGCGTTTGCGGAGTTGTCAGCTCGGACCCCAAGCCAAGCCTAGCTCCTTCCCAGCTTAGATAATAGAACACCTTGTCGTGAGCGCTCCTTTACTTCCAAGGTTCGAAAACACATCTCCACGACTGTATCCCGCACGATCCCCACATTCCCTCTTTTCCTATTACGCGCATCTGGCGTCCTGTTTCTGGGTCTAATTGTGCCTTTCTCCTTCGATACCCCCCGTTAGCCGTCTGCTCTCTCACCCCGAGTGAGCTTAGAGCTGTTCTGGCGCAAACATGTCCCGACCTATCCCGCTGCATGTAACGCAGCCGACGCTGGTGAGCTTGCTGTCCTCTTCATATACGAGCAAAGATGCTAACAATTGACTGCGTAGCTCACAAACCTAAACATCCTCGTACGTCTGCCCGCGGCAGGCACCGAACGCGCCGGACGCGAAACGTCAACAAGCTAACAAACTACACAGCCGGCATCAATATCATGGCAGAACTGTGTACGTACCCATTACTGAAGCTCCCATATGTCAAGCAAAACGACTAATGCGCGGTAGACGCTCGAGTCAGACAAGTACGTCTGCGTGCGCCAGCAGAACAACGAAGCGAACACGCCCGCCGAGACTGTCATCATCGACCTCAAGAACACGAACAATGTCATCCGGCGGCCGATTCGTGCTGACAGCGCCATCATGCACTTGACAGAGCCCATCATAGCTCTCAAGGCGCAAGGGAAGACGTTGCAGCTCTTCAATCTGGAGACCAAGCAGCGCCTGCAGACGTATACCCACCACGAGGATATCCAGTTCTGGCGGTGGATTAGCCAGACTACCCTGGCGCTCGTCAGCACAAAGTCAGTGTACCATTGGGATGTCCTCGATGGCAGCAGCCCGCCGACGCCGCGCAAGATCTTTGATCGCCAGGAACAGCTGGAGGTATGATGTATGCAAACATGGACACGAAAGTTGTCTAACGTTGACAGAACAACCAAATCATCAACTACGTCACTAACGATGACGAGAGCTGGTCATGTTTGGTTGGAATTGCGTCGCACCCGACCGGAGGCATCCGCGGTAACATGCAGTTGTTCTCCAAGGCGCGAAACGTCAGCCAGCCTCTTGAAGGCCATGCTGCTACTTTCGGCACGCTCCGTCTTGATGGCGCGAGCTCTGACACGAAGCTCTTTGCATTCGCTGTCAAGTCGACCACCGGAGAGGCCAAGATCAACATTGTCGAGGTGGACCATAATACCGCGAATCCCGCTTTCCCGAAGCGCCTGATCCCGATCCACTGGCCTGCGGAGGGTACTGGTGATTTCCCTCTTGGTATCCATATCGCGCACAAGTACAGCATCTTGATTGTGGTAACAAAGTTTGGTTTCATCCACTTGCACGATCTCGAGACGGGTACCGCGCTTTTCCTCAACCGGATATCAGAGGAGACGGTGTTCACAACTGCGCGCGACGACGACGGCAAAGGTGTCGTGGTGATCAACAAGCGCGGACAAGTTCTCCACACCACCATACGTGAAGATGCGCTCATTCCGTACATCATGGAGAACCCGGCATGCTCAGAAATTGCCTACAAACTTGCGTCAAAGGGCGGTCTTCCCGGCGCTGACAACCTGTACCAGCAACGGTTCGAGACTCTGATGAACCAGGCTAACTACACTGAAGCTGCGAAAGTAGCCGCCAACTCGCCGCGCGGGTTCCTTCGTACTCCCCAGACGATCAACCGGTTACGACAGATCCCCGCACAACCTGGTCAGATCACCGTGCTCCTGCAGTACTTTGGCCAGTTGCTTGACAAGGGTGGTTTGAACAAGGACGAGACGCTCGAGTTGGCGCGACCTGTATTCGCACA